AGGGCCTGAGGATCAAGGGAGAGAGCTAGAAAAAGCGCTTCACAATCGCTGCCTACAGTACAAGAACTAGCCACTTGCAGCAAGATGGATATTGGCTTGTAGATGAATGCGAGTCTTGTGCAGGGTTCTCTGAGAGAGTCGTTGTTTCGCACAGGGAGCCAGTTCCCGGTCCCAATCGACAAAATCTGCCAAAGCCGTCAGTCTCGCCTCGGTAGGAACTTGTATTATCTTCAGTTCGACGTAGGCCGAAGCCTGCAATGCCGTCGAAGGGGGGGTTTGGGCCAGCTGTCGACTTAGGCTGCAGTGTCGGGATGACCAGCTGGCGCAATGCTCCATGCAGCTAAGTCAGTCGGGAGCCGAGACGCGGAAACAAGGTACAGGGTTCAAGTTGTAGGTCGAGTGCTGTGCTAGCTTGTCGAGCATGCGGAGACCACCTTAGTGCAAAAGGAAGGCTGAGATGTGAATCGCGGATCCAGAAGCCCCCTGTGCCCAGACCTCTGCAGCTTCAGGGTCTCAGATGTCGTGCCAGATCAGGCAGAAGCGGTGCATCCGGAACCTGGAGAAGCAGCGAGGGCCTGAGGATCAAGAGGAGACGGCGAATGCGAGGGAGGGAGCGATTCACAGTCGCTGCGTGATTGAGTGAGTGCAGGTTGTGGAGACGAAACAAGAAGATCTCCAAACTCGAGGGCAGGCTCCTCGAGACTCAGCCTGCCGGCTGCACGAGATTCCCCATGCGGGCCAGCCACGCTGACTTGCTGGTCAGCAGCAGCCCAGGCAATGCAACCCGAAGCGGGCCCTGGCAGAGAAATGTGCTGCCGAGGACGGCAGACAGGCTTCGGAAGCTTCTAGAAGTAGTATGTTCTCCCACGTACGACGTCAACGCGAATCATGGAACATCATGGAACTTTGCACAATGAGACCTGTCCAGACTCCCATCCAAGACAGCCTGCATGATGACAGGAGCCCCTGGCAACGGAGGGCGCGCCTCCAACAGAGCGCCTTGGGCAGCGCACATTATGTTGTGGGTCCTTGCCAGGTCGTTTAGCCATAATTGAGGCGGGTGGGAGAACATGCACGCAATGCAGAAGTCGTGGCCGTGCTTCTTTCTCCTAGCTTTCAGTCTTGGTCTTCTCAACTTTATCCAGATGCTCGGGCCGAGCTTTCCTGAAACACTTTCTCAGGCCGTCGACACCTCGATGCCACACGCAGCCTTTGGACAACGGGCCGGGCTCTCAGTACTTGCCATGTGGACACCCGGAGCCCGTCACCCTAAACCCACAAATTCTGCAAGTGGCGAGCCCAGGTCGCCCGACACCTGCTGCAGTACCTGTGTGCCCGACGAGGACTCTGAGCGAGACAGCGAGGAGTATGGATGTCTGGACTAAGACAGTCTGCGTGGTCGCAGGAGCCGACCACTGCCAACCTCATCCAGCGGATCTTGGATCTGCAGGGGGCCTAGAAACCATCCCGGATTCTCCCTTGCTGCGATGTTTCCTTTGTCAAGCAGTGGCCAGCAAGGTGTGCCGGCAGTGCAGGCGACGAATGTGGCCGTGCCCCTTGTCGCAAGCCCGTTGGATTCACGAAATCTGGCCACAAAAGCCTCCCCATAAACAAGCTGAGCTTGTCATGAAGCCATAGCTTTGAACAGGCCGGGACATGGGACATTTTTGTGATTGGTCCTGCTAGGTCTAAAGGGGAATGGAAATGGCTGTGTCCGCTGTGCCAACAGGCGAAGGTCTCAAGCGAAGTAGCAAAAGTTGGGCCCGGCTGGCTGCTTCACTTCAGAGCCTCCATTGGTCCCACCTTCCCCGCACATGTGACCGTTCCTTCGGCAGCGGAGGTCGACAATTCGCCCGAAACTTCGGCGACGATGTGTTTCTTCAACTCTACAGCAGCCGGGCATTCATGGTCAGTAACAGTTGCAGCTGCTTTGCTTGTAGATTGAACGGTCCATGCTCGCCCACAGACCTTAACTCAAGGAAACAGCCGACACCAACCCCCGCGACCTTCTGGTGCACCTCGGCTTCTGCTAGCGCCCGACATGAACCAGCCACTTGCTGTCTGTATGTATGCATGCATGCATGCATGTATGTGTCGGCTTGTAGACTCACTTCGAAACTCACCCCGACCCGCCCAGCTTCAGGGTCTCAGATGTCGTGCCAGATCAGGCAGAACCTGTGCATCCGGAACCAGGAGAAGCGGCAAGGGCCTGAGGATCAAGTGGAGACAGCGAGGGCGAGCGAGCGACGGGCTGCGTGCAGGTTGTCGCAACGGAACAAGAAGGTCTCCGAACTCGAGCAAAGGCTCTTCGAGACTCAGTCTGCCGGCTGCACGAGATCCCCCAATGCGAGCCAACTGCTCCGACATGCTCGCCAGCAGCCAGCAGCAAAAGCCCAGGCATTTCAAAGCAGAGCGGCCCCTGGCAGAGAACTGTGCTGCCGAGGACAGCAGATTGCCTTGTGACAAGATTTCTTTTGTCCTCCAGACTTTGAGGAGCATGTGGTTTCTCCCACAGATAATGCATCCCAACACCTCCAGAAGGGCAGAAGGGCAGACTTGTCCAAGTCCTCACCCGAGACGGTTTCCATTAACGCAGGAGGCCGTGGTGGCAACGCTGGGTGCAGTACCCATTGCTGCACAGAGCCTTGGGTAGCAATGTGTGGTTTCTCGACTCGTCCGCGCGGGTGGTCGCAGGTCTCGACTCATCGGGGAGCGCAAAACAGCATGTGCTCTCATTTCCGAGACCCTTTCTTGTTGGTGCAAATGTATTGCCGGAGCTGCTGTTGCAGCCATCTTAATTCAGATGCGTCACATGGTGGGTGCGATACCTGTGTGCCTCTACTGCTGAGGTCGGAGGAGAAGATGCTCCTCAGGACACCACCCGGGACCCCGCCGCCGTGGCAGCAATGGCAATTCCTGTCATCCAGGCACTTTGCCTTGTTGGTAGAGTCGTCTCAAGTGCAAGGGGGGGAGTCGAATCGAAGATGTAGCTAGCACGTGTTTGTGCTGCAGCAGGGAGCTCAGGAAGTTTCAACAAGACGATCCAATCCACGAGATCGCCAGACAGTGCCTTCAACAGCAGCTTCAGGTACACGGCAAGCAACAAATGGGATCTTTCCACGTGCTAAGGCGGAGACAAGAACAGGGAAGTGGTGCATCTCTGAGTTCTGAGACGACTTGCGACAGTCACGGCCACGGCCCTCTGCAGGACGCAAGCACGGAGTCACACCGACGACAACCCTTCAGCACCTGAGCAGCTCACCGCAGGAGTTCCCAGGCACTGCCCCTCAACACGGTTCTCCTGCCGAGGTGGGCCGCTTACATCACCCATCATCAGCCATAGATGGCAAGCAGCATCCAAGAGCTTCCCTGAGGCAGGCGATTCCGAGACCGCGAATCCCAACTTCAAGGACCTAAAAACATGAGTGCGAAAGGGGCAAACCATGTAGCGGTTGCAGCTGCTTTGGTTGCAGACTGAACGGTCCATACTCACCCAAACACTTTAACTGCCTTAACTGAAGGATCTCGCGGACACCGAGATTGGCGCTGGAGGTGTCTCACCTTACGACCTCGTGGTGCAACTCGGCTTACTTCAACGGCCGTCATTACCCGCACGGGCTTTGGGTTGCTTTCGGCTGCAGATGTCCGCAACAAGCCTCAGGCCAAATCTCTTGCCGTACCTGAGCGCGGCTTGGTTACACAGGTCATAAAGTGGCTAGCAGGGCAGTCTTCTTTGCCACATCCTACGCGCTACAGGTGCAGGACTTGCTGAACTGGCGCCTGCTGTCGCGGCACACCAGAAGCCCCAAGGCCTGAAGTCCAATGCCTCCCTCTGCTTGCTTCGATGCTTGGAGACCCCTCCATGAAGAGATTCTCATGGGCTGCTTCTGCTACCAGGCCTTGACACAGCACGTGGCCGAGACGGGCAGCATGGACAGGCTGGGAAGGGGTCACCGAATCAATCCGAGCTGTCGACGACGCTCCATTGCAAATTGCAGTCATGGGCACGTGATGCAGGGCGGCAAGAATCCACTAGATCGACGTTACAGGCATGTCTGAAGCATGGCTGGCCGAAGAAGGAACCTGTAGAAGTAGCTCGCCTTGTTTAACAAAGTGGAAAAATCCGAACGCTTCTGGCAGAGCCGCCATGTCCTGCAACACAACTCACCTATTTTCACAGACATCCTATGCTCCATCATGCATCTACATGCTTCGGAAAGCGAGTCACGAAGCTGATTTTTTGGTAGGCCAGGGTAGCGGTTTTGGCTTTGGTCAGTTGCATGTCGCGGTGCGAGCGTAGTGTCTGCTGCAACATGTGCGCCGACAGGCCCGACGCTGTTGTCGCTTTCTCGAAATGGTTGGAAGTCTTCGTCCGTAACCCGGACACCTCCTTCGTGGCAGTCTTTGGAGACGATGCCGTGCAGCAGAAGCTCCACGAATGCCTCCTGCCTTCTTAGCTTGTGTAGCTGTGCTGCACAGCACATGCTTGTATTTGGCACTGCATTAGTCGTGCTGCACCGACTGTAGCCGACTCTGTTTCATCCTGAGGTCGTCGGTGGTGCATGGCTCTGGCGCACAGGAGACACACGCATTTTGCAGAGGGCCATGCGCGCGACATTGTTGACAAGAACCTCCGAGTTTTGCTTGGGCACTGCCGGAGTGCGGATGCGTCCCTTGCTGCCGCTGCCGACCACATCGTGCTCAACTATGCAGCAGATGGCCTCCGTTTTGTCCAGCAGCCTGTTGCAGCTGTCATGCTTTTGCGCATGGAAGATTTGCTGGCGAATGCGAGCGATAGCGTGGAGGAGATAGCAGCATGCCATCGGAAGCTTGAGCTGGTTTTTCGCTCGCTGAGCAAGCCTCAGCGTCAGAAGTGGGTGTCCCTTATGGTCAAATTGCTGATGTACGGTCAGTATCGCAATGATCGGTTGATCTGGCAACTGAAGATGCTATGGCTGGCTGACGACGATCCCAGGCGAACGTATGCAGAGTCCGCAGAACAGTTGCGGACGTTCGCAAAGTCCACATCAGCAGATGTCCGGCAGGAGCTGCAGATTCTCTTCGTCAGCTGCTGAAATCAAAAAGGCTTGTGTCGCACGGGATTGCTGGGGATATGACGAGTGAAAGCCTAAACCCTGAATCCCACTGAGACCACAAGCTTAAAATCCCCAAGCTCGAAGAGTGCACGACGGAAAGCCCTTGGCAGCCTCGTGAAAAACATCGCCCGCTCCCCTGCACATTGTGACGTCTTGAATTTTAGACTTGCTCCGCAACTGTGGCTTGCAGACTCTGCCTTCAGTGCTTGTCAGCATGTTCTCACAAGACATGGCTCGTCAGGTCAGCTCAAAACAACGATCTTCCACCCAGAGCCCTTGACAGCTCTCCGAGACCCGAGGGTCGGAACGTACTTGGCGGAGTGAGCCTCCACCACATGTTCTCCCGAAGGGGAGATCCAGCCAGGCCCTCAGTGAACGATTGCCGTAGCATGATAGGCTGTCGTCATCGAGGATCGAGGGTTAGGAGCTTGGCGTTTGGGATTCAGGGTTCAGGATTTACTGTGGGTTGGTTTCGAGGCCTTCACGATGTAGGTTTGGAATGGGCAATTGGGTTAGGAACTTGCAGCTCACATATACCAGACGTGATATGTAATGTATATAGACCACGGAAATGCATACATAAACAAGCACATGCATGAATGGGTGGATGACTGAATCAAGGAATCAAGGAATCAACGAGCCAATGAGCGTATGAATGAATATCAGTGGGGCAGTCAAACATACACACATACTTAAACAAGTCTCTATATACATACTTAGAGGTGCGTGTATACTAGTATACATGACCCCCACACACGCATGCGTGCATGCATGCATGGACGGATGTATGTATGTACGTATGTATGAATGTATGTATGTATGCATGCATGTATGTACGTATGTGTATGTGGATCCCTCAAGATCCGTTTCAGGTTCCAGCAGTCAGCCGGCGACATGTCGGTGTTCAAACCCAGGCCATAATTGTGTGTGTGTGTGACTCATTGATTCTCCAGCAAGCCTGAGGCACAGGCTCAGACATGATTGGCGTGTTTCTGCGTTTCAGCTTCAGGGCCATGGTCCAAGGTGGAAGATGACGCTGCCCTGAACCCTCGCCGAAAACCCAAACCCCTTAAACCCAAAATTCAAACCCTTAACCACACTAAACACTAAACAGTAAAAACACTAAGCAAACCCAACACCAAACCTACCTGGCAGGAGATTCCATAACCCCAAAGCGATCTAAAAGGGTACTATACGGGTGCTGTGGGGTACTATCAGTTACTTTCAGGTCAAGGTACTTTCAAGGGTACTAGTCCCATAAACGTACTTCAGGGAGTTATTGGTACACGTACCGTTGGCACCTTTGTGCACATGCTCTGTACACGACCGCGTAGGACACCCAGCTCTGGACAGTCCGCTGTGCCGGAGCCTCAAAACTCCAAGCGTCTCGACGACGGTTTCAGAAGCGGGATACGATACCCTGCCAAGAAGGCCCCCGGTTCAGGCTTAGACTTGGGAAGTAGGCAGTCTGCAAATGCCGAAGCATTCACCGCTTGACGGGGTTGCGCCCAAAGATCTTGCCAGGATGACTTGAGTGACTGGAGGGTTTCAGTGTGCATCTCGACACTGTAGTCTAGAAGGGGTTGGGCGATAGAGCGTTCGGCTACATGCGTTTGACAAAGTTTATTCTGCATGGTGGACCTTCAAGTAGCTGCTCTTGCTTGCGACACCTGCTGAACCACACCGTTGAAAGCGCAGGAGCATCCGGGCTGCGGGCCCACTGACCATCCTCCAATCAGACGAGCCTTCACAGCACTGCATCGTTTCTTCTGCTCTCTGCCGTAACCCCTGGAAGCAACAGCTTTCTGAAACAAACCTCCTACGCCGCAGGCCCATTTGGGCATAGGGGTGTAGGAACCTGTGCCCAGGCTCGTTTACAAATGGTCCTGGAGCAGTGTCGGAGGCACCTCGGCTTTGGCTGGCCATGGACGGGACTGCGTGTTCAAAAGGGACCTCGACTATCGGGCTCAAGATCTAATAAATTAACGCATCAGGGGCATCTATAGCGACACGATACAGCAAGCTCAATAGATGAGTTTAGATCCCAGGTCATCCGCTTTCGTCTAAAAACCTCTTCTTAATTGACATGCCCCACTGATGGACCCTCTTAGACGCTTAGCGTTGAAAGTGAGGTTCAAGCACCTCACACCCGAGAACTTCAAGATCATCTTGGATGCGATGCAGGACCTGTCTCCTTTCCTTCCCGCATGTTGCGAGAGAGTTCCACTTCCCCATGCAACAGTGTAGGTCAGGGTGCCAGCAAGATGCTCAGAAAAAGCCGGAGACGATCAAGCCGTTTGAATGTAAAGCCTTGTCATTCCGCGCCAGCTGCTTCAAGGTGGTGGAAAGTGGGACACGTCTCATTCAGCAAGGTGGCTCATGGGAGTGTGCTGGAGCGACTGACGAAGCCCACCAGCGTTTGTTGTTACAGTTCAGTATGTCGAGCACTAAACTCCTGCTTTATCGAAGCTGAACATCTGGTTCACATGGAACAGAGTATGCCGCAAGTGCTACACCTTCATTACGAACTGCAATGCTTGAGTTTCTCGCCGCATTGCGCATACTGCATCTTCCCTTGCCGTGAAATCACAGTCAGGCCAAAGCAAACCGTTTTGCAGTCAGCATTCTAAGTTGTTTTGACAGAAAACTCTATCTGAGGACCCCACGTAACGGTTGACGATGTGTAGCATAAAGACAGTTTGGCACAAGATCCTGTTCATGCAAATATCTGTGCCTACATGTACATATATATATATATGTATACATACATAGCAGGGACAGCAACAAGCTCTTGTCACGATGCAAGCATGCATCAAGAGAATGGCTGGTCGGTGCAATTCTGAAACTGTGCATTGTTGTGCCTTACCGACCGTGTTCAGGTAAATCTCGAGTTGTGCCTCTGGGCTGACGTGTTTGTGTTTGGTTGGAATGCTCCGTAAGGTGATGTATGTCTCTGTGTGTGTGTGTGCGCGTGTGTGTTCTGCTGTCCTCTCTTCTCAAGGAAAGACTTTGCGGGATTAGTCAGGGCCTTCTGGTTTGGTGGCGGATTTGATGGCCGTGGTTGACTTGCCTGTAGGTTCGACGCATAAGGTGCAGTTGAAAGTTGAAGGTTGAAGCGAGGGTAAAACGGAGAGCAGTGGGCAGCGAGTTCAGCTGTTGCATGCTGACGGCGAAGCTGTGGTGCAGCCCGCAGCAGCGAAAGCACCAGAGGATTCGTTTGTTCTTTTCCGCGGGGGCACTTGGGGCCCCTTACCAACATGCCTGAACACAACTGGCGCTTCGATACTTCACAAGTGAGAACTGGGGCCCCTTGCAAAAACAAGCACTTCAGCTGACGGGAGTCGTGTTCAAAGTTTCAGATCTGGTTGTTAAATCCAGACGAGACAGGTGATGAGGGCGAGGCCATGTGGGTGATCGAGGAGGGAGAATTCAAATGTTACCTGAACATCGGCGACGAGGACAGGTGTCCCCTAGATGTTTTTCAAAGCAGTATGGAACTAGTTGCCTAGACATGTCTCTTCCTTTTCCCCTCCTGCAGCTGGAGGCTGGCAACGTTAGCGCAGAAGCTGGTTCGAAAGCCTTCGATCCCCTAAGACCCCAAGCTCGGGTCGCTGTGAAGCCGGTCATTGGTCATAAAAGCCATGTTGCCAGCAACAATGTGTGTGTGTGTTCTTTCGGAATCATTGTTTTAGTAAAATCTGCATTCAGTCGGCTATTCAACTGATGAACTAGCTGCTTCTGCGGCATCTTGGGGTGTATAGGGCTTATCGTTGTTGGCGACAAACCGTAGAGCCGCGTGTAGAACAACTGCATAATATATGCCATGGCGCATCCTGCAACAGGTCCTACAAAGACATCTTTTCAACACTTAAGCGGCCATGGGGGAAAGCTCTGTCCACAGACTGTTGGCTTCTTAAGGATCGGAATTTAAGTTACCGTCATAGAAGACATCATGCGACTCGCTTACTCATATGCTCCCGGTTATGGTAACTCAAACTCACGACCCCGGCCAGACACCCAGAGGAATCATCAGCACCGAGCACCCTAGGCGATGGTTCAGAGTGACAGCGATGGTTCAGCGTGACACTCGCACAGCCACTGTTAATCGCTCGACGGTTGCATAACAGCTAAGATGAAATTAAGGGTTCACTTCGTATTTTGCTAAAGGGTGTTCAAATCAGGAGAAGCTTGACTTTCAGGGTGCCTCTGAAACTTGCGAGGAGACATCTGTGAAGAAGTTCTCCCGTGGGGACGTCATCGGAGAGTTTGAGCCCTCTGGCTTTGCACACTGAGCAATGTGTTTGGGTGGTGAATAGGTCGCCCACGGGAATGTCAGGCCAACTGTGAATACGTGATGAAAATAGTATTCTTTAGGGCGCGCCTAAAGGCGAATGTAGCATAATATACCCCAAAACCTTGACTAAGACCAGATGTTAGAAAGGGGTACTGTCAATTCCTCGCCAGAAGAGCGCTGAGCTTTGGTTATGCGCAGGCATAGGATGATTGGGCCTCAGGAAAGCATAAGCCCAGCTTGAAAGAGGGTCCTTGTCAACTGCACTACGCCGCCCAAACTATTGGTAAGGCACCCTCGTTCGCAGTTCTATTCTGTCAGTTCCGTCAAAGGGTTTTGAAATGCCTGATTATCCTTGCACTACGGTCGTTGGAGTTTTGAGGAACAGGGACTCCACGATCTTGTAACATACTTAAGAGCACAAAACTCTTGTTTTAATCCAGTGAATACTCGGAGTTAAGAGATCTTGGGAGTCTTTGTATGCATCGGACGTCGCAAAAGTGTAAGATGTGACCCCAAGCGTGTGCTCCTTGTGTAAACTTGAGAGCGTAAATCCTGTCAGCCCAGACTTCCCCTTCCTTTGGACTTCGAACTGAGGGCACGTCGAAGCCCTGAATCCTACATCTCACCTCAAACCCCACGGCCTGGATGTCTGTCGTAAGCCCTGAACCCCAAAGCCGACCCACCC